TATTATGGAAGTTATTACAAAAAGGAAATGAACAATTTGAAACATGTAAACGTGTTTGCTATTTTTACATAATAGTGCGTGATGTAATTTCATTGCTTTGCAATATCCCTAAGTGCATTTTGGTAGCAGTGAACATATTTTATACTGCACAGTAGCCCACATGACGATGAATCATATATTGATTTTTCAGAGATTCTATGGATAAGTAAATCATATTGTGAGAAACCCAAGCTCCTTTAAAAAAAAAGTTTTGAAACAGAATACATTTTGAGGATTTCTAGAGGGACAGAGGAAGAAAAAGGGAAGAATTTCAGAATGTTTTGGGAAAAAGTGGAAATTATGTTTTTTGAACATTAATCTGATCCTACTATTTACTTTTGTTTGTGTATGTATGTTTGTAGGTGTGCAGGCATGCCTTTCAGTTAATCTTGACTACAGGTGGCACCATGCAAAGTCTCTGCAGTTTTCTTGGCAAGATTTCAGAATGATTTACCATGCCTGCTTCCTAGGGCTGAGGGAGAATGACTGGCCCAAGCTCACCCAGTTAGAATCATGCCTAAGGTGGGATTGGCTTAACCACCACACCAATCTAGTTCCTGTTAGGTGATAGATACATCAAATTATTCAAGAAGATAAAAATCATTTTTCATAAAATTGGTTGCTTTCTTAGTGTCTAGAATCAGTATATTCTGCTGTGATACACCCTAGTATGGTCACTGAACATAAGGAATAAAATACATCCATCATTATGTTCAATGTATGCAAAGTGTGCAAAAAATAAACCAACTGTTTGTAACAATGCATGATAATTTCCTGTGTACAAAATATTTAACAGTCAAGACACTCACAACCCAATATTTGTGACTCCAAAATGCTGAAGACTTAATGCAAACTATTTCAAACTTGCTGTTTCGTTTGATGGAAATAGGCCACCAAGTAGGGCATGGGGGTCTAGGAATCATAGAATTGAAAGGGGACATAGAGGTCATAGTCAAACTCTTCAGTGCTGGAGCCACTAGAATATCTTTAGCTTCAGTTCGAAGATCCATAGAGAAGGAGAACTCATTATACAGCAATCTGTTGCACTGGCTGGCAGATAATATGCAAAAAATTATTCCTGAACCCTGACTTGAACCTATTTTCTTATAGTTTTAACCTGTTGGTTCTAATCCTGTCTTCTGGGGCAAAAAAAATAACTTCACACTTTCTGTGTAATACTTCTTTAGACAACTGAACACTGCCTACTCATCTGTTCTGTAGACTAAACATATCCAGATTCTTCATCATCTTGGTAGTCTTGGTAGTCTTCTTCTGAACTTGCTTCAGATTGCCACATGATCTAAATGGGATCGCACCACAACAAAGTATTTCATGTCGTCTTGCTTCTATATTTCTGTTAATATACCCTAAGTTGGCATTTGCATTTTTAGCAACTGCATTACACTGTTGAGTCATGTTTAATTTGTAGTCAGCAAAGATACCCAGATACCTTTCATACCTACTGCTGCCAAGACAGGTCTTCCCAGTCCTATACTTGTGCTATACATTTTTCCTACCCAGATGCAAAACTTGTTTTTCCTTGGTGAATTCTACCCACTGCTCATGCCTGACTAGGTCTTTTGAATCTTCTTTTTCATTTTATTTGAATACCTCTCCCAGTTTTGTATAATCTGCAAACTTTATAAGTGTCTCCTCAACTCTTTCACCCAAATCTTTGACGAAATATGTTGAACAACACAGGGCTGAGGACATAGACCAATGATATTCTATTACTTACACTATTTTTCTCCAAGCTGAAGGGAGACCATTATTAAGCCCTCTTTGGATACAGTCATTCATCAACTGTGAACCAGGACCTAAGATATCATCAGTTTCAACCCCCTGTACACTGCAGGATTTAGTACATGATTCCTGATAATTGTCTTTGCAGCTTCTATTTGAAAACCTTCAGTGAAGGGAAAGAAACCACTCCATGCAGTAACCTATTTTACTGCTTAACAGCTCTTACTGTCACGTTCTTCCAAATACTGAATCTGTATCTTCATCTTTGGAGTTTCATCTCATTAGCTTTAGTCTTGGCCTCTGGAGCAAGTGAGAATAAGCCCAATCCCTCTGCTATGTGACACCCCTTTAGGTGTTTGAAGACAACTATCATGTGTCCTACTGTAACGGTATGTGAGAAAATCTTGGGAGGTGAGGCAAAGAGATGCTGTCTAAGGCAGGGGTCCCCAACCCCTCGTCCGTGGACCAGCACCGGGCCGCAGCATGCCAGCAACCAGGCCATGCAAACAAGTGAAGCCCCATGTGCTGGATGCAGGCAGCATATGAAACCATGCACCCTCTTGTCCACAGAAAAATCTTTCTCCATAGAACCAGTCCCTGGTGCCCAAAAGGTTGGGAGCCTCTGGTCTAAGGAATAGTCATATATGAAATGGCATAGCCCAGAGTGGGTGAAGCAAGAACTCAGAAGGGATCATACCTAGCTTCTTGTGTTGTAAAGGAAACAGTGGAGTATGAGCTTTCAGACTTACAAGATTGTTATTGTAGCCTTACAGTAAACTAGAACTATCTCACTGGTTGCATTTCCTATCTGGTCTACTTGGGAAGGTTGACTCTCCTCAGCCTTCTCTTCTGCAAGTTAAACTTATCTAGGATTTTTTTTTACTACTCCTCATAGGACCATTTCCAGCTTCTTCTTCATCTTGGTAACCCTTCTCTTGATTTGCTCAGATTTAACAATACCCTTTTAAAACTGGAGCATACATAACTGAACATAATACTTCAGGTGAGGTCTGACTAAGGCAGAATAGAACTGATAATTACTTCCTACAATCTGAACTTTATGTCACTCTTGATACTCTTCTAGATGCTGCTGGCCTTCTTTATAACTGCAGTACACTCTAGTCCAGTGATGGCAAACCTTTTAGAGACCGAGTGCCCAAAACCCGCCCCTGCCTCCCCGCCCAACCTCGCTCTGTGCCCCACCCACCTGCATGGCCACCCACTGCCTCCACAGCCCACCGCGATCTCCCAGGCAGCCCAACAGCATCATGGCGGCCACGCCCTCCGCCCATGCCCCGCAGCATCATCTGCATGTGACAGGGCGCGAGGGCAGAGTCTTTTCTCACTGCCTGGCTGCCATGCCCTTGACTGTGCTGCTCTGCGTGGACCGCGCTCGGGGGCAACTCTGCTCTGGGGGGGGCTGCTGGTGAGAAGGAGGGGACTGCGGGGGGAGGCAGGGCTGGGGCGACAGTGCATGTGCCCACAGAGAGAGCTCTGAGTGCCACCTTTGGTTCACCACCACTGCTCTTGTCCATGAAAATGGCTTTGTCCTTATCTCACCAACAATTCTCTTCCATTTTGAGAGCTCTATGAGTGGAACTCTTTTGGTGAAGCCAATTAGCAGTGGAATGTTTTCCACAGTGTTCATATATATTTGCAATGGGAGTCATATTTTCAGTCCCCAAAGCAATGAAAGCTCCATAGTTTAGGGACCCTCCTTTTAAAGAGTAAGGGGTGTTGTTCTGCACCCTAAGGTCACTTTCTCATATGTTAAGAAATATCCACAGCACTACGTGTGCCCCTGGACTTCTCAAATAAAGTATGAGACATTAAAATGTTGCATCAGTTCAGAACAGGAAACCACTGAGGATGTTCAGATGTAGTATTTTACAACTCTTCTTTTTGTCACTTTTTTTAGATGTTCAAGAAACAGAGATATTGTAGCCCACATGAAGATACATAGATACAGAAGTATGGAAGCAAAATTACAGTACTGTAATCTTCCTTCAATTGTCCCCCCCCTTTACGTTAGTACTGTTGGTACACAACGGCATACGGTTCACTGTGGCTAGTTCCTGATTAACAGTTAACATCCAGATATCAATTTATATGGTAACTTACCAATCATAAGCAAGAATAGAGTAAGTAATTATCTTCTGCAATATATATTTTAAATGTCTGAGCACCATCACTTAGGAAGGACAGTAGTATTTCATACCCTAAATCTTCCAAACTCACAACAAGGATATCTTATAAACACTAGGTAAACAATTTTCCCAATAAATGAATGTCTTTGCCCCTCGACATAAATAATGTCCAGGTGGGAATAATCAAATCGATTTCATTCCATTTCACCATTTACTATTCTGGACTAAAACACAAAATTCACTCTCAATCTTGAAATTTCTCGTCCTTCTGAAAATATATATAGCACTATCGCCGGTACCACAGAATAAGCTGCAGCATGACCTACATTTACCTCAGTGCTGCGCTGTGGGAAGATGCAGAACAGGAGCTTTAAATCAATTCTGATCCTCCCGCCCTCCTCCGTTACTTTTTATTTTGGAAACCCTATCCCCAGTCTCTTCCTCTTAAGTCGGCCGGGTACGGTCTCCCTTTGCCGGAGCTATCCAAAGCCTGAGCGGAGCAGGTGAAACTCTCCCAAACTGAAGCGACGCACAGACCTAGAGACTCTGAAGGAAAACAAGAGCACGTTTACCCTCAAAGAGCACGCTCCTCCCCCTTCGGCTCTTCAGCCAATAGGGTGCAAGAGAGTGCCGCGGGACAGCCAGTAGAATGCCGAGATAGAGCCGCCCTTGTGAAGAAGCCGCCGGTATCCCGACCGGCCCCGCTTCCCTTTGCTTTGCTGGTGTCGTTTCCAGCAGCCGATCAATCTTGACCCGCTGCGGACGCTGCTGCGGGCTTCTCTCCCGCCCGCCAATCCTCCCATTCCTCTTTGTTTCCTCCCCTCTTCTCCTCCCCTGGGGGCACATGGCATGTCTGATGGCTGCTTTCTCCATGGGTGCCGTTCTGGTAAGTTAGATGCTCTCTCTGTCTCTGTGTCTCTGTCTCTCCACATCGGAGCATCTCCAAGCTGGAACCATACCTCTACTGATCATAGCAAGGATCTTACCTTGCCTACCTTTGCGGTAGGCATTTTGCATACGCCCCCCTCCCCCCCCCGCCGCCAGAGGCAGCCAGGAGCGCGAAAGTCGTGGGAAGAATTGAACAAGCAAAAAAGATGCAATTTAGGGACCTGGCAGAAAGTGTGGCTTGAGTTTGGAGGCGTGGAGAACTCCTGCTGCCTATCATCCTCTCCCAGCCCTCACTTTCCGCGTCTGGATCCCTTGATCTTGTATTTGCCCCTCAGGCTTGTCGGAGCCGGCGGCTTGTTCATCTTTTCCGAAAGGGAAGCCGGGCTGTTAGATGGATCTCTATTTTTAAGCCCAGCGCTTAGAAGCCTCAGAGAGGGGAGGCCGAGTTCAAAGCGCGGAGTTCCTTCATGTAGACCGAGGGGGAAGGACGCCGCTCTTTCCTCTCCTCTCCAGAAGGGACCTGGAGAGCCTGCTCGGAGGTGGGCTGGCGGCGCCTTCCTGGATCTGACTCCCCTTGCCACGGTTCAGTCCTCGCTCTTATTGGAGGGGCAGAAGAAGGATCCTTCGCCTCTTCTCTTGCATTATTTCCCAGTGCACAAATTGCTGTGGTGAGCGCATGTTTTCTTTTCTTTCTTTCTTTCTTTCTTTCTTTCTTTCTTTCTTTCTTTCTTTCTTTCTTTCTTTCTTTCTTTCTTTCTTTCTTTCTTTCTTTCTTTCTTTCTTTCTTTTTTTGCCGGGTGTTTCCTGGCTGCGGCTTGTTTGTTTTTTCCCCCCTTGACACGGAAATGGCTTTTAATGTCATGTGTAATGCCATTTTCACAATGCAAATCATCCCCTAATGTAATTTATAGGAATGCATTTACCCATTGGCTCGGCGGCAGATGCCCTCACTGAAAGCCTCCAAAGTTATTCAAGGTCTAATTTATTGTAACAAAATAGACTGGTTAAAATCGAAAGGCTTATGTTTATTTTCTTCGTCGCGGGATAAGGAATGTGTGTGTGTGTCTCTGTGTGTGTCTGTGTCTGTGTGTGTGTGTGTGTGTGTGTGTGTGTGTGTGGAGGGCGACATTTACATCATCCTGTATTTGGAGTCAGCTGCATATAGCAGGGTTTGACCGAAAGTTACCTTAGTGTTGCGCTCATTAAAAAAAATGGAGGGGGGAAGAGGATGGTTTTCTGAGCATGCTCAGACTGTCACGGGCGCATCCTGTGATTCGAGAACACTTCTCCTTTCCAGCTCATTATATAATGATAGATTTGGTGTAAAAGGAACAAGAAAGTCGATTTTCTTAAAATTAATTAATCTTAGTTGGAAGATAAACTTTTTTTTTAAATCAAAGACATTTGCTGGCTAAGGAATGGATTTACAGTTCTGTTGTGTAAAGATATTTAAATCCTCCTCCCAAGTGATAAAATCTGGATTTAAAGAGCCACAGGAAAGTGGAATGAGCATTACATTAGGTTTTAGGTTACCTAAATGGAGATGGAGAACATATCTGTTACATCATGTAATGACATCACGTAATGCATGAAGTTAGACATACATAAATTAAAAGTTAGATATACATACTATTTATCTTTTCATTGTAGTTTGGAATGATGGACTCTTTCTATATTTCTACATTACCCAATTGCAGGGGACCAGAGGTTTAGTCTTCCAAACATTCAATTCGTGCCGGAGCCCATCCTCGGGGAACTTCTCTCTACCAGAATGTGTTAGGTTTTTCTATGAATTCTCATTTCCCCAAATAATAAGCATCTTTACATTACCAGGATGTTTGAATTTACTATTACTGAAAGAAATTCAGTGCCTCTTACTCAGTAAAACTCTTACATGTGGTAGGTAGAGATGAAGATTTTAAAGGGGAAATAATTTATTAAATTTATATGTTGCCTGACTCCCAGTGGTTTACAGCTGTTAAAAACATTGAAGAAAAAAACAAAAATCTCACAAAAATGGCACAAGACAAAAGAACAATGATAGCAAATAAAAGTGGGAAAAAAGAAGAAGAAGAAAGGGGCATCAGTTATCCTCACCAAAGGCCTGGGTGAAGAACCATGTCTTTAAGGCTTTTTGAAATACCAGTAGGATAGGAGTTATTCCAATTTGGTGGGAACCTCATCCCAGAAAGCAGGTGCTGCTGTAGAGAAGTCTGCTTCTGGGGTCCAGGGAGATGGCATTGTTCAATGAGTAAAACCCAGAGCGTGGCAAATCTGTAGGATTAAACTAGCCAGTCAAATACAATGGGAAACAGGTGGTCCCTCAAATAATCAGGCCATATGTCATGCAGGGTTTTATATGTGGCGACCAGCATCTTGAATCACAGCCAGAAGCAAATTAGAATTAATTATTTCTGAAATGCTCATTTTATCATCTGAGATTTTAAATTAAATTTCTGAATTCTTGTCCAAATTGCATGTTTCTCTTTCCCTCTGCACTGCAAAAGAACTGTCTAAACAAGACAACAGAAGCAAACATCAAAATGATGTGCTTTGAGCTAAGCCCAAGTTACCTTTTTTGGAATCAGAGGTGCTTCTGCAAGAGAATTCTACAAATGGTTAGAAAGCAATTTTCCAACTTGGTGGTCTCATAAGATCACAATACTTTATTTCAAGCAAAGGCATAGAACACAAAGTAGAGGGTGCATGTGCAGCCATCAGTTTATTATATTTCCCCTTTTTTGGAGTGGAATGAGAGATTTTGTGTACTGCATGACCTATAGCAGCTGAAGACAGGATGATAATTCTTTTCTCTTTGTTCTCAATGTTGCAAGATCAGCAGAAAAGACAATGATAGCTTATCTTCACATTTCTTTTGAGGGACTAGAGAGTGGAAGTAGTGGAATGGAAGTAGTCTAAATAATCCAATACCTTGAAGATAGGTCTGAAGTAGATAAATTGATCCTTCGTTCCTGCTATGTGAAATCTGTGTTTATGGTCTTAAATATAACTTTATGTTGGGGCTAATACTGATATAGTCCTGAGAATACTATGGATAACTAAGAAAACAAATGGAGCAAATAATCATATCAATTCACTCATTTAGGGCACAAATGACCAGGATCATATTTTGGGCACATTAGGTGAAGACCTAGCTTTCTTGACAAGTCTGCAATACTGGGAAAGGTGGAAGGAAAGAAAAAAAGATGACCAGCAGCAAGGTAGAGGGACTCAATGGGTACATCATTAGAAGACCCAAAGGACTTTCTTGGGGGATAGATCGTTCTCAAGAAAATCTATGTGGTCACTAAAAATCAACACCAACCTGATGCACATAAACAAATACAGATGTTCTCATATTTGAAATTGGCATAAAGTGTATATATCAATGGCACAAATATTACGCATACCAAGAATAACTACAAACCTGTAAATCATTAGTATCTGGCAGCAATGTGTATGCCTGGAGTCCAAGTTATAAGCTCTCTCATAGCTCTACCAATCCCAAATTGTAGAGAACCAGGAGAGAGCCTGGAAGCAAATATTCAGAAACAGTTATGTAAACAAAGAAGACAGTCCTGGGAAGAGGAATAGTTTTAAGAAGACACTCAGGCTGACTCCTCACTGATTTAGTGAGGTATAAGGGGGAGGGGAGGAGAAGCACAATCAAGTTTGCAAAATTCTGTTTTTATAACCTATCTCAGCAAAATATAGTTCTGTGGGTCTGTTTCCTGATCTGGTCCACCTCAAAGGGTCCACACTAATTCATATCAAAACATTTCACTTGGCTCCTTAATTACTTCTCTATGTTGTAAAAGATGACATATCAATGGAAAACAATGAACAACCTGTTTCTGCCTGGTTGTCTGGAGAGGTTATTGATTTAATAGCTACTTAGACATTTTCTACTCTTCTGCCAATTGGTGGAAAAGTGAAGGACAGTTAAGTATCATTCTGCACATAATATACATCCATGTTTTGTCAATTTTCTTGCCCTAACAGCCCCCTTACCTCCTGAAAAATTGTTCATGACCGTTTGGAAGAATATAAATTGCACAGGAACACATTTTATAAACTGAGGAAATAGCAGAAATCTGGTACCCTATTTAGCTTAAGTATAAAAGGGCTTTCTGTTATCTCTGATACAGCCAAAGGAATTTATGCTGTATTCTTTCATTCTTTGACTCTTCCATTGATGATGTTGTTGAAATACGATGAGTCCCAGAATGGCCTAATATAGTGCAGCTCCATAGATTAATGAGTATTTCTATATTTGATCTTGTCACAGATGTTTTACACATTATCAATGCATCTTCATTGCATTGCCTGAATATACAAATAAGTCACATTGTTACTGTCTTGTTGGCACAATACTAATTGGATGACTCTGAAAGGTTTTCTAAACCAGTAATGCAGAAATGGCCTTAGAGTGCTTTTAATCCAAAATGTTTCATCAGTTAAAAAATATAAATCAGAACATTTCAATGGCATATCGAAGTTCTCCTCCAAACTATAATGTTCATGTGTATTGGATTACAACTCATACAATCCCTGAAAAATGCAGCATTAGATATAATATGGTTGCTGGCTGACATATAATATTTGCTATTGTAAAGTCAACCTTTAAGAACAGCAACCACTTTTTAGCTCTGAAGATGGTTTAGTAATTTGTACCAAATGTTCAAAGGAATGGTGAATTTCTTGATGTCTTGCTCTGATGCTTGATCAGTACATTCTAGCCTACCTGGTTGTTATGGTTTTTACCCAGCAGGTGATCCCTGGAAACTAAGAGCATCATTTATATAACTTGCAGGATTCACATATTGGTCTAGATGAGTTCCAGCATGGAGAATAAATAATACTTTTTAAAATGGCTCACTGGGTCTGATGAAGGAAAGTTATTCTTCAGAAAACAAGTCTGGCAGTACACAAACTAAGGAAGTATAGTCAGTAACCAAAGGAAGGAAAATGAAGCATTTTCCACTTGGTTTTTCTTCAAAAACTCCTCACAATATGTAGTAAAGTGATATTTTATGAAATCAATGCGTGTTCAGGGCTCCAGATTTTATTTTAACATAGAATTGGCCGATAAAATTATGTTTGGAGATTTGCAAATGGGCTATATGCAAAGTTGGCAGTCTCCCCATTGTGGGAAAGACACTCTAGTTGCATTGAGCTGGCTGAAACAGTGAATAAATTGACACAACAAATACAAATTGTAAGGGGGAGGGGATAAAGATATGTTGATTTCTTATTTGGGTGTTCTGCAGGTAGAATAAAAAAAGCTGTGAAAAACAAGACATCAGTTTGAATCACTTGAAAGGTGCTGTTGATCAGTGCAGAAAATCTTGAGGAATATGGATGAATAGTTTTCAGTATTCCTGAATATTGGATGTTCATCCAATTAGCCTTGCCAACTATACTGCAAGTACTGTCTTTACAAGTTGATGTCACACATCCTAACAGACTGTGCCTGATTTGGAGGATCTAATCTAAACAAATTTAGGATCTAATCCTAAACAAGGATTTTACATAAACTTTCATACACAAAGTTAAGATCCAGAATCAGAACAAAGAGTTGAAAGCACATAAATGCTACATGGCTCTTGAAAATGTTAAATGATCACATATTGTGACCTAAAATGAAAATAATAATTTTAGCTGACTTTACTGATAATTTTTCCATGGATATATGAACAATCATTTGGGTAAATGTTAATTCTGTAGCTTTACTACATTGAGTATTAATTTTCTTTGGGTATTGGCTTTCCTTGTTAAAGTACAACCAGGACTCAAATTTATCTGTGGTGGCTAGCCTAACCATAGCAATAGAGTGTTTGTTGTAAGCTTTCCATATTGACTGTACTGTACTAATGAAATTGTTACTCGCTGTTGCCTGGGATTACACTATACCTATTAATATTCATTCAGTTATGAGCTGGCATACAGTATTAGAATAAACAGTAACAAACATTGTCTCACATGTTACCATCTTCTCCCCTAGCATGGCCATAAAGAAAAGTAGAAAGCTTTTACTTATGGTCTTTGGGTCAGACAATGTGCAGTTGGTTTTAACTATGGTTAATGGAAGCATGCCCTTAATGGTAGATTATCCAAATGATAATTAGAGTTAAAATTAACTTTAGCGTACAATTTAGTACAATACTAAACTGTGGCTAATATAAAATATGAACATTATGTGGACCTGACAGAGGCAAAAAAAGGAGGGGTACACAAAACCTGAAGTATTATGAGTGTATTGGATTCTTGCTTATTTATACAAATGGAAGATCTCAGGTGTTTTATGAAAAAGAAACATGTAAGCATACATTTACAGACAAAGAAACCAATGCAAGACATTTAAGATTGGCAAAAATGAACACTGGAGTTGGAGTAGTGCTTTCAGTAACGCAGTTTACAATTCTTGAATTTACACATTAAGTGAAATGCAGTTATGAGGCAATATATTGTGGTGCAGAGTGCTATTTAAATGGGGGTGGGGGAAACATGCACAAAAGTCTTTAATAGGATAAACAACAAAATAATTGTCATGTTTTACTAAAAAAAGAATGATGCATGAAGGAAGAACAAATTTAAAATTGAAAAATGAGAAAGTGGGCCACACTTTAATTGATTTGCCTATCTCCAAACAGCCATATTTTCTTGTAAAATAACAATGTCAGCAGAACATCATAGAGTTAACTCTTTTTCTGTAGTAGTATACGAATTGTTCTGGGACAAATATACAATAATTGCATTTGTAATAAGAGAGAGGGAGGGAGGGAGGGAGGGAGAGAGAGAGAGGACAGCATAAGAAAGCTTATGTTTTATTTCTTTTTCCCTCTTGTGTTCTAGAATGTGAGTAATTCTTCATCTACTATGCCTGAGTCAAAGTCAATATGTGTTTCAGTAGATGAGGTGGTCTCTGGTGGTACAGAAACACAAGAGGTTCATTTGCTCAATGGCCATTTAAAGAAGATGGACAATGTTTTGCCTGAAGCCCATCATTTCTCCTACCTTCCTCGAAGACCAGCTGTGAACATTGAAATTAAAGACCTCTCCTATGCTATACCAGAAGGACCCTGGTGGAACAAGAAAGGTAAGCTAGGATGAATATATTTGTTCAGAAGCCTGCTGATTCTGGGTTAGTACTAATTTGGGGCTGGGTAGTAATACTCCATTTTGAAGAGCAGACCTGCAACTTACGGGCCCACTTGCAGCTCTTGCTGGAACAGTGGCTGGAAGCCATGGCCAAGAGGGGCCTGTCTAATACACCACTTGTGGCCTTTATTAGAGCAGGAAATACTGAAGACTATCATTTATAACTTGTCATCTTGTACCTCAGTTACTGTAGTTTTCTTTACATGTGACAATTGCATCAGCTGCTGATACGTTTCTGAGTGCAGTTCAAGATGTTGATTATTACCTGTAAAGCTGGCCCTGTATATTTGTGAGGCTATCTTTCTTAGATAGATTCTACCTGACCAACTGTCTGACCAGAGAATGCCTGCCGAAGATATGGAAGTGGGCATTCTCTGTGGGAGCTCCTGTCTCTTGGAACAACTTGCAACCCCTATTTGTCAAATTGAACTTTAATACATTAAAATTGCAAATTTATAGAAAACCAAGAAAGGGTTAATACAGTTTGCGTTTCCAAAGAAAATTGTTGTAAAAGGCTATAAGCATCATCTACATCAGGGGTGTTAAACTTCATACTGAAGCCGCCCCATCCCATTGCTGGCAATGGCAAAACTGGCCCGATACGTTGTGCGGAGTCATGTGACGTTGCAAGTTTGACATGTTTGATCTACATGATTAAGAATTGTAAAATGTGTTCTGATAAAAACTGTTCAAAGTTGTCTTTGGCATTTCTGAAATGTTTGCTAAAAAGAATGGGTACTCATCCATACTGTTTTTCAACTTCAGATAGTGAAAATCAGTGCTTTCTATTTAGTACCCAGTTTCAAACCTACATCATACTGATAATTTCCAATGACATTAAACAGCATGATAGCAATTAGTTAAAATTGAGTGGAACATGCTGACAGAATTATAGTGTTTAACAGGAATGATTCTGGACTACTAAAGTTATACATTATATTTTAATTTTTATGATGCATATTCTGCCAGGAAGGAAGAAGCCACACATGATATTTCCATTAGTCAATACATCTATTGAGATAATTACTCTAGAGAAAAATGAAGCTCTTGAGGCTAATGTCCCATATTTATTATGAAGCAATTAGATTTTCACCTGAGTCTTTAGACTTGGCTGTATGATATCACTTGTTTGTTTTACCCTTTCAGAACATAGTGATGCACAGAATTTTAGCATGGCTTGTTTCTGATGTGTAATTCTCTATAATGTTTTCCACGTAGTCTACTAAAATGCTGATTCCCTTCTCCTTTAATCAAAACCCTTGATTAATTCAAAGACTCAGCATGATAGAGACTGAAGTCCATTTTGCACAGAAGTAATAAGCAAACAAAGAATGATTTGTGATCTAAATGGTTAGTGTTGAGCTAGTAGAATATAATAGCTTTAGGAGAAAGCTTTATGTTTTATGAATCTTCCAGCTTATTTCTCCCAGTAGAGAGAGTGTTATTGATGGTCCTTGTAGAGAGCCAAACCTAGCTCAGGTTCCAGACTGTCCACTTACCATGGAGGCCTGGAATAAGGATTCAGCAAGAAATGCACAACTCCCAAAGAACTTCATTCTTTGAATCAAAGCCTATTTCCAAGTTTCTTTGCAGAATCAGTAGATTATAGGAAGAGAAATGTTATCATTTTTGTCCTCTTCAATTCTGGTTATAAAATAGATTAAGCAGCATATAAAAGCAAGTAGCCATGATTGAAAAACCCCAAGGTCAAGACTTGGTTAGTACTTGAATGGGAGATCACCAAAAATTCAGTGGAATGGGATGATGGACAGCTGAAAAAACAGATCAGAAGAATGCAGGAGCAATCTGCTTCTGGGCTGTTGCTAAGAAAACTGCATGGAAGTGCCAAGATATTAATGAAAAACAAAGTAAAACATACTTTTTACCATGCTATAATATTAAAGATTACTGTTTTCAAACAGATATTTTGATTATTGCCCATAGGATAGTTTATGAATTTAACAGGTTCTGGCTGTTTCCTGTGAAATAGATGAATCCTTCCATGTGACAATATATTAGGTAGCACTTTTTGCCACCATAACATCCATACATAATATTCAGAAAATTAATTCTAAGACTATTGAAGGTCTTAGATCAGGGGTGTCAAACTGCTGGCCTGTGGGCCGATTTCATCATACCAAAGCTGTGCCTACCCCATTGCCGGCAATGCAAAAAGAGTCGTGATACGTCGTGACATGCCACGTGACGTAGCGAGTTTGACACCAGTGTCTTAGATAAGTGAGGGCTGATATTGTATACTGTACTGATTTAGCTGTTTTTCCTCGAGCTGATTTGAATTCTATTTTCCATTTTCCCATACTCAACAAGAAGTACAATTTCCCTTTAATTTCTGTGCACATAGTCTATTATATTCACTGTGCTACTTGTACAAGAGGAGCAAGATCTAGACTGTAAGAATACTGATGACCACTAAAGAGCAGCAAAGAGTTATTGGTTTTTGAATATCTCTGCTGCCATCTAGTGATCATCTTAGATTTTTACAGCCCAAATATGTGTTTTGTCTGTAAATATTGTATTCATGCTGAATATAGATTCTTAAGACTAATTATAACAATTATAATAATATTCACTCCATGCCTGTGGGAAGTCAGCTCCCTATATTATACACTTTATACTCATAACAAGAAGCTGTTTGGCATATTTTGAGTAAAGGCATGCTATGGATACCAAAGAGGAGCACTTTAAGATCATCAGAAAACTTAAAACCAAAACAAAATGAAATATATAGAGCTCTCATCTCATACTGCTACTCTGCTACCATTTTAGCTCCTCTGATTTTTTTAGTGAAGACAGAGTTACCTATATTCAGCAAGTTAATGCATTTGAGCATAGCTTATTTCATCCATTGCTACCCTGCCATCTGGTCTAAACAAGATAAAGGTTGTAAAATATTGAAATAGTATTTTTAATGAAATATTAAATAATTATAGAGGTTGTTTGTCAGTTTTAGCTGTAAATCAACACTGTATTTCTGAGAAATATATCTATTTTGGTACTTGCTTGAAATTCATGTTCTTATTTATCTTATATTTTTAGAGTTGATAATTTGGCTTTAAAGGGCTATGTTGCAATTTGATGAACACTTGGGAATAATCGCCTTCAAACATTGTGAGACTTGCATGCTAGTACACACATACTACAATTATGCTATTAAATATTCACCTAAAAATAGAAAGTGTGAAGGACTCTTACAACATTTCTGGTACAATCTACTGATTAATTCCTATGCAGTCCCCAATAAAAGTTAGATTTATAGTAAATGCTGCAAATGCTATAACTAATTATTGCAAATAAAGCTATAGGATATTTGCATAAATCCCATTTTTTTCTGCATCTATTCATTAATGAAATGCATGCATGCTCTTAAATATTTTTCTTTTCCATTTTGTAGCAAATGTCTGAAACATTCTCAGTTTTTCAGGTTATTAAGAAAGGCAGCTGTTTTTTATATGTTTATCTTTGCTATGCAAATAAATGTATTTTGTTCAGCTGCATATATATCTTAGGTTTTTTTTCAACTATCAGAATTAAAGATAAAGTTGATCCAGTAATAGACTTCATTTGTTAAGTATTTATGTTTAATCTGCAAACCACTGTTTAAAAACTATTAAAGTAGAATATACTCATTGCTGGCAAATGAAATAATGTGGTATAAATATCCCATTGTTTCACCTTTCAAAAAAGCTTAGGTGTCATAAATTCTACTCTGACACACTCATATAAAAAGTGTACATCTTGTATTGGGTTGGAAAGATTCTATCCCCTACCTTTTGAAAGGCAAATGGTGAAAAATAGGATTTATTTTATATGATTTGTTGTTTCTAATCAGAGAATTCAGGAAAAGCCTGTTCTTGTGTGGCAGGTGCATTGCGGTTGAGGTGCTGCATGAAGCAGCTCTCTCTCATTCATGCTCGGTTACTATCAGTCATTGCACTATAGTAACCTCAGCCTGTGATGTTGGAGCAGTGACGAAGCAGTGGTTGATTGGTTGCATTATGTCTGTTGCTAAGATGAGTGAGGAAAGGAAGGAAGGAAGGATTGTCGGAGAAAAATGCACATTCTTTATAAGATTCAAAAGGACTGAATGTTATAGTTAGGATTTTGCTTATATTTTTTGACAGTAGGTATGCTTACCTCTTAATTAACTTAAGATTTAGTCACTTCTCCAAAAAAAAAAAATACCTAGTTAGACTGAATGAAATTCAGGATGCAGCAACTCAGTGCGAAGACAGTGTTAAAGGCATCTTTAAAAAAATGTGTAAACTAGACGTGATCCATTAATTGTCTTTATTCTAAAACCAACAAATATAATGTAACTCTTTTTTGTTGCTGCAACAGCTGCACATTTTAGCGTTGGACTTCATAGACCTGATTTTTTGATTCAATGAGTAATTTGGAATATAGTGTTGAAAAAGCAGAAATTAGCAAATCGCTTTTCCTATCAATCAAAGATGGCAGAAGAAAACCCTTTCTCTTTTTAAAAATGATATGTTTAATAAATAGCCTGATCTTACACTGTTTTAAATATTTTTAATTGATTGCAGTGCATTCCTGCAATACCAATAACTAGGTGATCCTTCTCCTTCCCTGTTGAATTGAATTTAGTTACCTACTTTGGGAAGAAAAGAGAAATGCTTGTGTTGTGGACAAAGTACACCCTGGAACAACTTACACAAATTCACAGATCTATGGTTAGTAAATTCAGGGCAAAATGGCACTGAACTTGATCATAGTGGCTCTATTAAAATAAACACAAGCAAATTATAACTATTTTTAATCTCATTATTTCACTTTGTTTGTTTATTTGTTAAATTTATATGGCTACCCAACTCACTCATGGTGACTCGAAGTGACTTGCAGAAATCAAATTCCAGTGCAAAAGTCAGAGTCAGCCACTCCTGACTATGTTTGTATCCA